GCTTGTTCACTTCGGTTCACACTGCGGCGCCTATGTGCGTTTGCTGGTGAATTTAGATCATTTTGTTTTGTGCATGTGCAACTGCGCGCTTGTTGTGCAGGTGCGAACCGGCTTGCCAACGTGGCAGTTGTGTTCGCAAATTCGCATCGTGCCGCCTGCCCCGGACTTTGCCTCTCGCCGCCAGACAGTTGTCGCGCGGCCGCGACCGAAAAAGTATCCCCACCAGCCCATCCACAAACGATGCGTTGGGGAGCTGACGGAAGAAGGGAAGAAGAGACGCACATAGTGAAACCGAGCGGGCAACAACGGTGAGTCGGGAGATCGTTTGTGGCGAAGGTTGCATGTGATGCTGCTGGTGCTCTTGCTCCTGCTGGTGCTGCTTCTGCTGCTGTTGCTGCTGGTTTTGCTGGTTCTCGACCAGCGAATGCCCAGGCGAATGGAGGTGATCAGGGAAGTGAGGGAGCACACAGAGTAACCAAGTGCTGGAAAACCCGTCTTGTCCAAGACGGCGAGGATGGAAGAGGAATCGGAGGAGGATGAGGAGGAGGAGAAACTGAAGGAGGAGGAGGGGAAGCGGGGGGAGGGAGGAGGGAGGAGGGAGGAGGAGGAGGAGGAGGAGGAATAGGCGGATGATGATGATGAGGACGAGCAGGAGGAGCAGGAGGATAATGAGGAGGAGGAGGAGGAGGAGGAGGATGATGAGGAGGAGGAGGAGGAGGAGGAGGAGGAGGAGGAGGAGGAGGAGGTGGAGGAGGAGGAGGAGGAGGAGGAGGAGGAGGAGGAGGAGGAGGAGGAGGAGGAGGAGGAGGAGGAGGAGAAGGGCGAGCAGAACGGCCAGAGGCCTACTGGATGCCTCTCGGAGTCTCTTCGGATGTCTCTCGGGAGCGTCCTGAAGGCTTCTTAAAGCGTCTTGGGAGCCTCTTGGCGGTTCCGGAGGCGTCTTGGAGCGTCTTGGATGCTTCGGGGAGCCTCTTGGGGTATCTTGGGGGTCTCTTGGGGGCCTCTGTTGGGTCTCTTGGGGGCCGCTTGGGGCCTCCTGGGCGCCTCTTGGGGCCCTCATGAGGCGCCCTTGAGAGCCTTGGGAGCGCTCTTGGGACCATCTTGGAGGAGATCGATAAAAAAAGGGAGAGGGGGTTTAATTAGCACCGCCCCTCGGGAGCCTCTAAAATCGCCTCTTGGACCACTCTTGGAGCGCTCTTGGAGCGCTCTTGGGCGCTCTTGGGGCCGTTTTGGGGCTCTCTTGGGCCCCTCTTGGGGCTTTCTTGAGCCATTTTGGAGCCATCTTGAGGCCTCGGATGGCAATCGGAAGCGAAACGGCGAGAAAGCATAAATCATTGGTTTTCCATAGGTTTTCAAAGGAATTTTGCCTCTTGGAGGCCTCCTTGGAAAGCTATTTGGCCTCTTGGAGCCGTCTTGGGGCGGTCTTGGAGCCTCTTGGAGCATCTTCGGAGCCATCTTGAGGTATCGTAGGCTATCTTGATCCATCTCGGAGGTCATCTTAGGCTTTCCGAAGCGCTCTTGGAGTCATCTTGGGCGAAAAAGTACCCTCTGACCGCTCGCGAAACGCCCCGTCCAGGTCCAGGGGAGGGGGTTAGGGGGAGGGGTAAACCCCTCCCCGAAGGGGAAGAAGGAGGGGTGGAAGAAACTCTCTAAACCACATACGCCCAGAGGGCTTGTGGGATTTCCGACGCCGGCAGGTTTGCGCTGCAAGGTGTGCATGTTGTGCGACGCGGTTCCATGTTGTTCTGACCGTGCACCTGGGGATCGACCTCTTTCAGATAATGGTGGGAGTTTGCTCAAGAGACTTAGAGAGAAACCTGACACTGGCGCCGTCCCTCGCGAAGCCTCATTCAGCAGAAATGCCCTCCGCACAGCCCGTGGCCCTGCCACGTGCCCTCCGCGCCCGCAAGTCTCACGCCCGACCAAGAGGAGAAGTGCAACATGAGCCTGTCTCGCGCACCACTTGTTTAGCGCCGCCCGTGGTCAGAGGGCACCAACTATACGCCTACACAAATCCTGGCCAGGCCGATCCTGGGCCCTGGATCAGTGTGTACGCACTCCTGGCTTGGACAGGAATGGCATGTACACCGATCCAGGGCCTGGGATGAGCCTGGCCAGGATCGGCGCAGGTGCATGGTTGGGTGTCCTCTCGAGTGGGCGCAAGCTCAGCACACAGCGCTGGCCGCCTGGAGCTGCCTGGTCGCGGGGATGCCCGCCCCCCCCCTCCTTCCCTGAGATCCGACGCTGCTGAAAAGAGATGCAACATCGCGAAAAATCGCGACTGAAGCTCTAGACCCCATCTTCCTGCGCCACTTCTCGTGCCGCATCGATCCGCGAGGGACCCCCCCGGGCCCGAGAGGCCGGGCGGCAACGCCCGCCGTGAAACAATGGCAGCGCCCGGAGCCGAGGCTTCCGCGCCAAATTGGCGGGCGCGCCGCGGGGGGTCGATCAGCGGGGGCAGGGAGGGAGGGCTGCACAGAAGGGGCCCCTTTGGGGCCCCTGGAGGGGCCTTTCAGGGCACCAGAGGGGGGGCCTTCCGGGCCCGAGAAGTGCACCTGTCTCCCCCCCCCCCCCATTATCGCCGCCCCCGCTCTAAGCGTCGCCCAGCCCTAAGACAGGAGAGAGCAGACGGAGTGTCTGCCGCGGGCGCGGCCTCCGCCGCCCGGCCGGTGACGACGCCCGCCGCCAGCACCGCCTCTCCCGGCTGCGGGGGCGCCTCGGTGCGCCGACCCGGCCCGGTCCTGCTCCGCCGGGCTCCGTCGGAGGATGCTTGGCCCGTGCGGAGTAGGTCCGTACGGAGTGCTCGGTCTCCGTTCGGGCTTCCCCCGTCTTCCGGCGACGAAGTCTATACATAGCGTCAACGCGCCTGGGAAGGACGCGCTCCTTCATCTAGGGTGCCCTCGTGTCACTGCCTCTGCGGCCAGTCCTTTGCCGTTTTCACTGGGCGCCCGCCGCTCCACGCATCCCAACTTCGGCCTCCGAGGGTCTTGCGCCCTGGCCGCCCGTCCCGAATCCACGTTTTGGCCGTATCCACTGCTCCCTGGCTCAGGCCCATCCCGAACCCTGCGTCTGCACTCGGCCTCTCCTGTTCAGGATGCCAGGTCCGTGCGGAGCTAGTCTGCACGAAGTGCTCGGCCTCCGTCTGGGCCTACTCCGTCTGGGCTCGGAGCCTCTCCCGACTCTGGCGGGCGACCCCGCCGCCGAGTCCTGCTCGGTCCCGCCCGCAGCGGAGGAGGAGGAGGAGGAGGAGGAGGAGGAGGAGGAGGAGGAGGAGGAGGAGGAGGAGGAGGAGGAGGAGGAGGAGGAGGAGGAGGAGGAGGAGGAGGAGGAGGGCAAGCTAGGTGCGCTCGCGTCATATCTGACATCCTACCCCTCCCTCCCATCCCTTACCATGGCGTAGATCCCCTCTCTACTCGCACAGTCGGATGTCGAGCAGGGCAATGATCCCGAAAGGGTACGCGATGCATTGTAGAGCACGGCATGGCATGGCGTAGAAGAGCACCGCAAAGCGTAGTATGTCACAGGCGTGGCGTGGCGAAGTGAAGAATTGCAACATGGCAGAAGCTTACAAATGCAAAGCATGCTTTGCAAAGCATGGCATCGCACAGCGGCCCCGAACATAACATTGCATAGCATGGCGTTGAAGATCAAAGCGTAGCATGGCATAGCACGACGTGGCACTTAAGCACTGCATATCACAGCTTCAGCTGAAGGCATGGCATCGCGCAGCGGAATGCAACCTAGCATTGCATTGCATGCCGTGGCATGGCACGGGAAATGACGCCAGCGCTGCAGCGGGAGCACGATTCGGAACGAGCGGAAGCGCGGAAATGAGGCCAGCGCTGCAGCGGGAGCACGATTCGGAACGAGCGGAAGCACGGAAATGAGGTCAGCGCTGCAGCGGGAGCACGATTCGGAACGAGCGGGGCCCGAAAATGAGGCCGGCGCCTCAGCGAGAGCAGCATTTTGAAAAAAAATGCAGTCGAAGACCCAACTCCGGGGAATACTGTGTGTAAAAAAAACAGTACGCGGGGGGGGGGGGGGCGAACCTTCCCAACCCGTCATCAGGGGAAGGAGGAAAGTCATATTCATATTGAGTAATTGTGGAGAAGGGGGAGGGGGAGGAGGAGGAGGAGGAGGAGGAGGCGGAGGACTCAGGGGCAACGCTAGGGGGGTGCAGGCTCAGGGGTGAGTGCCTCGGCCCCCAACCGCCCACTCATCGCAGATTTGGGTCTCACGGCCCACCCCGCCCAGGAGCGTGCGGACTTGCAATCGGGGGCCTACCTCGCCGATCTGTCGGCGATCTATCGCCGAACCAGGCTCGGCGTTCCCACCTGAGCCAGTCCCCCACCATCGTTCCCCCTCGTCACCGCCCGCCCCCAGTCCCCCCCCCTCGCCGACTTCCGCCCCCCCCTGGCGAGGAAAAGAGCAAGACGACCAATTATCGGAGCGAGAAAGCACGCCCTAAACTTGACTACGCGCGTCCTGCACGAGACGGGCCTGCCTGAGCAGAAGCACTCCCTCTTCGATCGCTCGCGTCATCATCACCAGCAGCATAGTAGCCATCCTAAGCATCGTCAGAACTAGAGTTGGACGAAACAAAACCATCATTCGCATCCTTGTCGTCGACCGCGCCACTGCTGGTACATGGCCAGCACAGACACAACACCTTCTTCGGCAGTCGGAAGTATGTGTTTGCTTGAGCATCCCCTGCCCTTACTGGGTGTGGCCCTACTGGAGTGACCCCGCGGACAGGACACTACGGACATGACCTGTGGGAATTCGCCCCCCGTCCGCCAGAGCTGCTGTACCACTTTGATGTGACTATCCTCCTCCTCCTCCTCCTCCTCCTCCTCCTCCTCCTTTGACGTTGCTCGGACTTCATGCTAGAGCACGCTAGAGCACGCAGCGTTCCTTTGACGTTGCTCGGACTTCATGCTAGACCACGCTAGAGCACGCAGCGTTCTTCCTCCTCCTCCTCGTCCCCCTCCTCCTTCCGTAGCTTTGGCTCAAGTCATTTCGCCATCCGCGAACTGTTCGGTACACGTCGGTCGATCGCTTCTCTGCGCCATGGCCAGGCTGCTTCTTGCCGCCGCGGAGATTGCCGCCGTGGTCGGTCTGAACGTCCACGATGCTCCCTCCAGCGACGCACAATCGCGCACCGGCGTCGCTGCAGTGCTTGACCCGGAGTTGACTAATGCTGCCCTCGAGAAGTTCCACGTCACCACTCCGGGGGAGCACGCCGTGATCGTGCTGCCCGAGAATGCAGACCTGGAGAATCCGGCCGCTGCCGACCTGATCGTCTATGCCACGTTTGGGAAGCTCACCGACGATGCGTGCGAAGACCTCCTCATCCGCACTGTCACATTTGAGGGAAGCTCCGTCGGGACAAACATCACAAAGCTTGTGTTCAACGTGGGGAGCGATAATTTCAACGACACGGCAGCCCATGAATACACGTACACCTTTACTGACAGTGGAGGCAACCCCCAGGACGTTACCAACACTGACGCCAGGCACCTCTTCGACAACGTCCCGATCTGCTACATGGGTACTCCGCGGGGCGTCATCAGGGAGCCCACGTACAGGACCTACATGCACCGCCAGAGGATCATGCAGGTGGAGTGCAGCCTGAACAGCCTGAACCGCGGCCACGACATCAAGGTTTTCTGGAGCACGGTGTGGCGGGGGTTTAACAGCACCACCAACTCGTCCATCTTCGCCAACGACCTCTCCTTCAGCATCGGCAACGTGGCGAACGCCGGGGGCATCCTCGGCTCGGACGACCACTCGGCGATCTCCGCGGCGATCCCCGGCTGCAACAAGAAGCAGCCGGTCCTCGGCCCCTACCAGACCAGGAAGGGGAAGCCGAGGGGGAAGCCCTGGAAGCGCGCGCACCACTTCCGCTGAGCGGCCTCCCTCCGCCGCTAGCGCCCCGGTTGCCGGGCGGCGCTCGGATCACCTTGGTCCCCCAAGGTCACCGAGCGCGTTCCGCTAATACTCGCAAAATGCCAATTCGCAACCGTCTGAACAAAAACATGTCTTCCTAAATGTAATGGATCGCAATTCCCCCGCGGCGGATCCGGGCCATTTGCGAGTCGTTACTTTGCGAGTAGTGGAGCGCGCTTGTCTACAATGGGGTCCGCTGGCCTGCGGCATTCCCGGCGCCCGCGGGTGCCGCCCCGCTCCTCCTCCGGCGGTGCGCTCGTCGTCTTGGGCGGGCGCGGCCGGGCCAGGGTGTTTTTTTTCGCTGTGCCTCTCGGTGCCTTCCGGCGTGGCTGCTTGGGCTAAGCCGTCGGACACCAGAGGCCCACCGCCTCCTCTTCCTTCTGCTCCTGCTCCTCCCCCCTCATCCTCCGCCTCCCCCCCCCTTCTCCTCCTCCCCTTCTTCTCCTCCTCCTCCTCCTCCTCCTCCTCCTCCTCCTCCTCCTCCTCCTCCTCCTCCTCCTGCATCCTCCTCCTCCTCCTCACCTCCGCCTCCTCCTCCTCCCTCCTCCTCCTCCTCCTCCTCCATCCACCTCCTCCCCCTCCTCCTCCTCCTCCGCGATTTCTGGCTGCTGGGGCGGTGTATACGAGGGCTGGCTTGTTCGGTTCAGCGGATTGTTGAATTTTTTGTTTACGGGCGCAGGCTGCTCCCGCGATGAATCGCCCCACGGCGCTGCCTCTGGAAAGCCCTTACAATCAAAATATTAGTGGCCTTCGGAGCGTCCCTCCACCGTGTTTGGGTCGTGGAGGAGTGGCCTCCCCGATGTCTCTTTGGGGCCTCTTGGAAGCCTCTTTGGGGTATTTTTCCGGGGGTTCTCGGGCGGGTCTTCTGGGCTATTTGGGCCGTCTGCTATGCTGTGAAGGCCAAAGCGCTGAACATGCGACAACCTTGCGTGAACCATTGATTCTTTATGAATGTTTGTAGCCTTTCTGGCCCACTTCCAGGGCATGTCCAAGACGGTCTACAAGACCCCCAAGAGAGCTCCAGGACGGTTCCTTGGACATTCTTCTGCTTGCGACACTTGCGCAGGGTGCTCCCATGAGGAATCATTTTTTTCATCCGTCGCTCTGACAACGTGCTGCGCTCGTTGTTGTGCTCCCCAGGACTTCTGGTGGTTGCCCTGACTTCGCCATCACCGCCAAGCTCGTGGCCGTCATCCTCTCTGCCGCCACCTTCGCCATTAACCACACTGCCTCTTTGAAGCCTGCCTGGCGCGTCGTTCCCCCCCCCCTCCCGCGCCCCGGGCCGCCGCGGCCGCTCCCCCTGAGATCCACAGTCGCGAAACAAATACGGCATCGCGAGACATCACGGCTGGAGCCCTGAAAGCGAGGAATCGCGAGACATCACGATCGAGCCAGATCGAACTGTCGTCGTCCATTTTGTTTGCGCCACAGGGGCTTTGTATCGGAGCAGCGGCCATTGCCAACACGGAGTCACACACGACTCCAAATCCCTTATCAATCGTCCCCCGGGTCCGGGTCTTTGAGGCGCCTTTTTTGTAACTGGGGGGGGTCCGGTTTATTAGGGCGCTTTCCTTGGATTGGAGCTTAGGGGGGTCTAGTTTATTAAGGCGCCTTTTGGAACTCGTTGTTCCGCCTTGGTGTTAATAAATCCTCTGGCGTGGTATGCTGAGAACGGCCCTTCGCGGAACCTGAACATTACGTTGCGCCCCAAATGCGTCCGCTTCGGTGTCAACAACTCCTCTGGTGCGCCCGCAACGGTGATGTTATGTAATCGCTTCGCACATTCCGCCGGCCCTTATTGTCGCACCTCTGTCGATTTGGGGGTGTATTCCTAAGGGGGTCGCAGTGACTGTGGATTAGATTTCGGGGGTTCGTCGCAGATTCTAGCGGGGCTGTCCTGGGGCAATCATGGGTGATCACGGGTCTGGTCGGTGATTTATTTGCTTGTGTCGGTGAGGGGTTGATGATTCTGGATGGTCGTTGTGGGGCCATGTCGCAGATCGGAGGTATTCGTCGCAAGTTTGAGCCTTTCCGTTTTGGAGGGTGGCGGCTTGTGAATGCGACCGCAGGTTGAGGAGGAGGAGGAAGAGGAGGATAAGGAGGACGAGGAGGAGAGTGAGGAGGAGGAGGAGGGGAAGGAGGAGGAGGGAGGATGAGGAGGATGAGGAGGAGGAGGGGGAAGGAGGAGGAGGAGGAGGAGGAGGAGGAAGAGGAGGATGAGGAGCAGGAGGAGATGGAGCCTCTTGGGCCGTCTTGGCGGTCTATTGGGCCGTCTTGAGGCCATTTTGGGCGGCGTCGGGCGATGGTGGGGGCTCTTCGGCTCCTCTTGGGGCCGTTTCGGGGCGTTCTTGGGCCCGTCTGGCCGCCTCTTGTGCCATCTCGGGAGCCGTCTTGGGCCATCGTGGGGCTGTGTTGGGGCGGTCCTGGAGGCTTATTGGGCTGCCTTGGGGCGGGGGAAAGCCGAAAAGGCGAGAAGGCTGAAAACCTCCAATAACTGAGTGAAAATCAAAGACTTCCGCCTCTGGGACGCCTCTTGGAAGCCTCGAGGGGCGTGTTGGGGGCATCGAGGGCCATCGTGAGACCGTTTTGGGCCGCTATGGGACGCTGTTGGCGTCTGGCCGTAGGGCATGCTACCTATTTGTGAACTCATTGGGCCACTCCTGGACGGTTCCAGAGGCTTCCAGGCCCGCTTTCAAGAGATCTGGCATCTCTGACGGGGACGTGCCAGGAGTTGATTGGGGTACTCTCCGCTCTTTGACCCCAGGGGCCGCCACGCGCGCGCGAATTAGAAGGTTGTTATTTGTTAGTTCCTTTTGATTTTCATGTAGACGCTTCGCGTAACCCCACCAGCAGAGGTCCTCAGGCTGCGCCTTCTAGCCACCTGGGCGGCGCGGGATGCTCGCACCCGCCCTGACGGCACCCCCGACATCTTCCCGGTGTCTGGCGATCCGGACTTGTTCCGTTGAGCGCCCGCATATCTTGTCGGCTTCCTCCGAGGCGTTTGACCCTGCTGTCACTCGTTCCGCGGTCCCTCGGCTCGGCTCTGGACTCGCTGTTCGTCGTGGTGACGGTCTTCCTCGGCGTGGACGTGGTGTTGGCCAACCCGAATCCCACCATTTTGGTGCTGCGCGTCGCCTGGAATGGACTTCCTGGTGTGCGCCTGTTTGCCTCCCTCCCCGCTTGGTCTTGTCTCTTTTCGCCCTCCTCTTACTCTGCTCGAATTTAGGCCGTTGTCCGTGTGCATCGTTCCTGGGCGCCGCCCGACCTTTCCGCCGCGGTCGCGATCAAAAGTAACCCCGCCAGCCCATCCAGAAACGATGTCTTGGGTGCCGCGGAGAGCTTCTTGGGCGCCTGTTGGGGCCTCCTGGGGCCTCCTGGGCGCCTCTCGGGGCCCTCTTGAAGCGCTCTTGGGAGCCTTGGAAGCACTCTTGGAGCCCTCCTGGGCCATCTTGGAGCTACCTTGAGGCCTCTGATGGCCATCGGAAACGAAAAGGCGAGAAAGCCAAACGCATGGATTTTCCAGAGGTTTTGGAAGGATTTTGGCTTCTTCGGGGCCTCCTAGGGGAGCTCTTTGGCCACTTGGGGCCGTCTTGGGGCGGTCTTGGGGCCTCTTGGAGCATCGTGGGAGCCATCTCGAGGCATCTTGGGATATCTTGAGCCATCTTGGAGGTCATTTTGGGCTCTCCCAGGCGCTCTTGGAGTCATCTTAAGCAATGCCCCCCCCTCCCCAGGAGGCCGACATGTGGCCAACGCTTGGGTAAAATCAATGATGTGGGCATTCTCGCCGAGGCCTCTTGGAGCGTCATGGGCGCCTCGGGGGGGGCTTTTGGGGGTCTCTTGGGAGCCTCTTGGGAGCATCCTGGGGGCCTCTTGGGGGCCTCTTGGGGCCTCCGCCACCTTGGAGGAGATCGACTAAAGAAGGGGGGTCTCTCAATTAGCGCTGCCCCCCCAAGAGGCCAACATGGGACCGAAACCATAGGAAAACCAATGATTTTGGCTTCGTCGCCGAGGCCTTTTTGGACGCTCCGACGGCCCGCGAAACGCCTCGTCCACATCCAGGGGAGGGGGTCGGGGGAGGGGTAAATCCCTCCCCGAAGGGGAAGGATGGGGGTGGAAGAGGAAACGCCCTAAACCACCTACGCCTTGAAGGGCTGCTGGATTCGTGTTCCTCCGATGGTGCTCCTCTTAGGGCTGTCTTGGGCTGTCCAGAGGCCTCGTGGGCCATCTTGGGGCCCTCTTGGGCCGTGTGGGGCCCATGTTGGGAGTGTGTTGGCCCGTCTTGGGGCGATCTTGAAGGTCTCGTGGGCAGTGCTGGACGCGGTGGACTTTGAAACATCGCTGATACGCAAAATTTACGTTTTCTGAAGGGAATGTGGCACTTATTGCTTGTTGAGGATTTCTACGAAAGCCTCTTGAGGTTCTCTTGGGGCTTCTTGGCGGCGTCTTCGGCCGTCTGGAGGCCATCTTGGGCGTCTTGGGACGACCGTGCGGGCCGGCAAGCTGGAAAGTTCAATTCGAGCTCCCCCGATGGGGCCCCTCGTAGGGCTGTCTAGGGCCGTCCAGGTGGCCTCGTGGGCCGTCTTGGGGCCCTCTTGGGCCGTGTTCGGCCCATTCCGGGGGTCTGTTGGGCCGTCTTGGGGCGACCTTGAAGGTCTCGTGGGCAGTGTGGGACGCGCTGGACCCCGAAACGTCGCTTATGTGGAAAATGTACGTTTTCCGGAGGGAATGGGGCACTTCTTGCTTGTTGAGGCTCTTTAGGAGAGCCTCTTGAGGCTCTCCTGGGGCTTCTTGGCGGCGTCTTGGGCCATCAGGTGGCGACCCAGGGCCCCTCGGACCGTCTGGAGCACGTCGCGGGGCTCTCTTGGAGCGTTCCTGGGGCGTTCGGGGAAGCTTGGAAGGCAGCGCCGAGGAGGAACGCCATCTTTGGGCCTCACCTGGCCGGGACCTGTCCGGGTACTTCTCGCTCGAGGGCCCCCAGGGACCGCCCCGCGCGGGCGAACTAGAAAATAGGTGCGCCCGCAACTGTGATGTTATTTTGCTGGAGGGGGGGCCGGAATATTTAGGCGCCCCGTCGAAGAGGGGGGTCTGGAATATTAGGTCGCATTTGGAGGGGGTCCGGTTTTTTAGAGTGGGGGTCGATGAATAATAAGGAATTTGGAGTAGCCCCGCTGGGTCACAGGGCTAACCCGGGTTCACACCAGCCCCGTTGGGCTCCCGGGGGCTCCCCCCGATGGCTCCCGAGAGGGGTCAGACAACATGCCCGCCAACACAGGTGTGTGTGTGTGTGTGTGTGTGTGTGTCTGCCGCAAGTTGGCAATGTTACAAAATTGACGCGGCCAGTTGCTGTGATGGTCCCAGGGCCAGAAGCTAGGCGAAAACGCATGGTGTGAACAGGTTGCAGCGCCCGGATCTCAGGGCTGCCCTCAAGCAGCCCCTTCGCAAGACATCCCTTGGCAGGCCCCGAGCCATCGCGCCAGGTATGGGCGAGCCTGGCCTGGCGCCAGACTTGCAAGCGCTGCGGGAGCTCGCGAAGCAGTCTGCGGCGGCCCTGGGGTCCAGCGAGGACGAGATCTCGCGAGGGCGCAAGCGCGGGAGGGCCGAGGACTCGAAGAAGAAAAGCCGACAGAGGCACAAATTTTCGGAGCTCCGCGCGGATTTCTCGGAACGGCGCTCGGGCCCACAGTGGCGGCGCCTCCGGCGCCGCCCCTGGCGCGCTTCGAGCGACAGGGAGTGGGTTCAGCGCGGATCCAAGAAATCCGCGCGGACCTACAACAGTTTGTGTTTATGAAGTTCTTTGTTCCTCTAAGGATGCCGGCAATGCTGCAACCATTGTGGTGCCCGAGAGGTGCGTTGGGAAGATCATCGGACTGAGCGGCAAGGCCGTGAAAGAGATCGAGGCCACCACGGGGGCCCAGATCAGTTGCACGAGGGCCACCGAGGAGGGCACCCGCAAGTTTCTTATCTTTGGGGAGCCCGTGAGTCAGGAATTGGCGCGGGAGCAGATTCAGGCGATCGTGGACCGCGAGGAAGCAGCAGGGTTGGCCCCGGAGCCCAACAAGGTGACTGAGTACATGGACGTGGCCAAGGTATCCATTGGCAAGCTCATTGGGAAGAAAGGGCGCCAAATCAAGCGCATCCAAGACCTGTCCCGCGTTGACATCATCAGGTTCACAGGTGAGGCTGGCATAGAGCCGAACACCGAGAAGATGAAGATCGGGGGCAACAAAGAGGCCGTCCAGATCGCCCAGTGCTACATGGAGCTATTGTTGTTGTATTATGATCGGAAGAGCGGGGTCTTCAACACAGAGCTGGAGACGAAGTACAAGCCCATCCCTTGTGCATCCGCGGAGTATCTGGATCATATCATGCACGAATACATTTACTGCGAGCAGACTCCGATGAGCGCTGTCGGGATGATGCCATGCCACCTGCCCATGGCCAGGCGTGCCCACCAAGCGCCCAGAGAACACCAGCCAGTGACGGAGCTGCCGCCAGTGGGGCTGCTGGCAGACCTTCCGCCCCCAGCTGGCCAGCCCTCGGCACAGCCGCGGTTCACGATGCCCCCGCCGCCGTCAGGGCCGCCGCCGGGGCCGCCGCCGGGGCCGCCGCCGGGGCCGCCGCCGGGGCCGCCGCCGGGGCCGCCGCCGGGGCCGCCGCCAGGGCCGCTGCCGACAGGGCAGCAGCAGCAGCAGCAGCTGCCGGTGGTGTCCCACGGTCGAATACTGCCCACGCAGCCGCCGCCGATGCCGCAGACGTATGGCATGCCGTGGAAGTCGCAGTACGTGGATTCCATTGTGGTGCCGCACATGAGCTACCAGGACGCAGTCATGTGGGCCCGCGTCTACATGCAGGACGCAGCCTGCGTGACGTACTTCAAACAGTTGAAGAAGATTCTGGCATGCCCGTCAGCGGAAGGCAGCTAGCTGGTTCGCTTAGCGCTGACACGCTGATAGCCGCTCGAGAGAGCCGCGTGGGAGGGGCATGCAATGATGGTCCGACTTCAGGATGCTGCCACTGTAGAGTGTGCACGTTGCCGCCACGCATGCTTATCATCATCGCGCGCTCTTGGGGTCGGGAGCCGCCCGGCGATCGTGGAGCCTGATAGCGTAGGCGCTTGGGGGAAAACCAGAATTGCCACCATCATTCTCGTCCGTCTCCGTGCTGGCGTGGCCCGAGCCGACGCACATCTCGACTCGATCTGACTTCCCGATTCGATGCCGACGGATCCTGCCGCCACCATCGGCATCGTCCACACCACCCGTTTTCTTGGCCCAGGGCATGCTCCTGCCTCGCTCCCTCCCGCAGTGTGCCCCGGCGCCCCCGCTTCCCGGCGCGCCCCCGCGCGGCCCTTTGCAGGACCTGGGGGCTCGCAAGCGGAGCGGTGAGTCAGTTGGGATTCGGGGCTTCCTGACGTTGTCGTTCAACGGGAACGTCGGCCCCCGCGCCGGGGAGGGAGGGCACAGGGAGACAATGCACAGGCCCAAGGCTGAGGCCCAGGAGCCCAAGAGTCGATGTTGTGATTTTTTCGCGACCCGAGGGGGTCGTTGGAGAAGGCCAGCCCCCTCTCACTTCCCGTAAGTCGGGCCTGTCCCTCTACAGCAGAAGTATTCAAAAATAGTCAAAACAGAGTCGGGGAATGACTTTTTGAGCATCTTTTTTGGCCATTCAGGGGGGCATTTTTTGGGGGTATGTTTGATGCTTCGTCCAACATCCTCCTGCAGGAGGACAGGGCCCGACCTAGAGCACTTCCCCCCTGGGGCTGGCCGCCGAGAGAGGCGAGCCCGCCCCGGCGGTGGATCCGGAATCCGGGAATCCGGAATCCGGAATGGATCCGGAATCCGGAATCCGGGAATCCGGAATCCGGGAATCCGGGAATCCGGAATCACGTGAGAGCCTGTTTTTTTTTACCCCCCTGGGGCTGGCCGCCGAGAGAGGCGCCGATGGGCGAGCCCGCCCCGGCGGTGGACCTCCAGGCGCTGCGGGAGCTGGCGGCGCAGTCGGCGGCGGCGCTGCGCGGCGGCGAGAGCCCCCGGGGGCGCAAGCGCGGACGCGCGCGGCCGTCAGAGCACGGCGTCGTCCGCCTCCTCCTCCTCCTCCTCCTCCTCCTCCTCCTTCTCATTATCCTCCTCCTTCTCATTATCCTCCTCCTCCTCCTCCTTCTCATTATCCCGAGATCCCCCTTCCCGAGGCCTCCGGAGACGGTGGAGGAGGAGGAGGAGGAGGAGGAGGAGGAGGAGGAGGAGGAGGTCTGCGGTGGCCCAGCACTCCCAGACGCGGTCGCGTCGTGACAGAAATCGGGACGGGAGGTGTTTGGCCACGGTCGGCCTCGGGGGGGCCCTCTGCCGGGCCCTCGGGGCCGTCAAGACACGATCCGGGACGAAACACCGGCTTTTGGGGAGCGGGTCGCCGTCCCGAAAGAAATCAGGGCGTCGCGTGTCTGGGCTTGTGCCGGCGAGCATGGAAGGGGGGGGGGGGGCGAGGCTCGAGGTTCCGGGTGCGGGAGTGTTTTTGTTTTTTGTTTGTCCTTCTCGGTTCTGGGTTCTGGGTTCTGTTTTTTTTGTTTGTTCTGGGTTCTGGGTTCTGGGTTCTGGGTTCTGGGAAGGGGGGGGGGGCGAGGCGAGGTTCTGGGTTCTGGGTTTTCTGTTTGCCCCTCTCGGGCCTCGGGGGGCCGTCGTCGGGCCCCAGGGCCGTCGGAAGCGGAGCCGGGGCGAGGAGCTGCGCCAGGCAGGCCCCCCAGGAGGGTGTCTGTCACCGCCCACCAAGCCACCCCCAACCCAAGCCGACGGCCCAAGTTTGCCCTCCATTTCCAGCGTGGGGGGGGGGGTCGGGGGACATTGAGCAAATACGTATGGAACACGCACCCCCCCAGCCCGAAATTCGGGTCTTCGGGTTGGGTTGGGGTGGGCCGGTAGGTAGTCAGTTCGAGGACCGATTTTGGCGGATTTGCCTTTGTACCCCCCTTCTTGGCCGACCTTTTCGCGGTCCACCCTGTGCAGAACCCCCAGCCGCCTCCAGGTCTAACCTGTACCCATCCCCAGTGGGCCAGGGCACCACAGCCCCCCAAGCCCGCCCTTCCCAGGTGAAGATTTGCCTTGTGAGAGCCGAAGAAGCAGGCAGATATGCCCACTTAGGGGGGTAAGGCGACCACTGGGGTCAGGGCCACGCCAGTGGGGATAGGGATCGCTTAGACGATGCTCAAGAGCACACCAATGTCCACCGCGTCGGGGTCGCACTCTGGGGCTTTGAGGGGTGGTGGATGTGGACGTCCCCAGATCTCCGATGAGATGTCTTTTTCCAATCCCGTCGCTCTTCCTCGATTCGGGGTACCGAGGGGTGGTGGATGTGGACGTCCCCAGATCTCCGACGAGATGTTTTTTTCGAATCCCGTCGCTCTTCCTCGATTTCGGCCTCCAGGGCCGGTTCCGGTCCCAGGTGCCATCACAAACCGGATCCGGGGTGATTATCCAGTCCGGGCTTGGCGGTCGGGAGCTCTGGGGCCGCGGACTGAAAAATGATGTCGATGGATGTCTGGGCACCAGGTGCCCACCGCGTCGGGGTCGCGCCCTGGGGCCTCGTGGGGTGGTTCGTGTGGACGTCCCCTGAGGTCCGGGCGTCGCAATTTTTTTGCGGCGTTCTCGTCGGGTTTCGGGACCTGGGAGCCTCACGGACTGATCCGGCTCGGAAAATGACGCAGAGCGATCACGACGCTGCAATTTTTCCGTAACGCTGGATCTCGGGGAGATGTCCACAGAGGGGGGCGCTCCAGAAAGGGCCGCGCCTTCGAGGGATCGAAGTAATCGACGTCTCTCTCTCTCTCTCTCTTTTTTCTCCTCCTCCTGCTCCTTCTCCTCCTCCTCCTCCTCCTCTCCTTCTCCTCCTTCTCCTCCTCCTCCTCCTCGTCCTCCTCCTCCTCCTCCTCCAAAATTGCTCAATCTGAATACTACTCTCCCTCTTCCCCTGATGACGGCCTGGGAGTGTCCGACCCCCCCCCGCGTATTGTTTTTTTACACACAGGTTTCCCCGGAGTTGGGTTTTCGCTTGCATTTTTTTTCACAATGCTGCTCTCGCTGAGGCGCCGGCCTCATTTTCGGGCCCCGCTCGTTCCGAATCGTGCTCCCGCTGCAGCGCTGGCCTCATTTCCGTGCGCCTGGGCCGGCGCTCGGGCGGGGTCCCGAGCCGGTTCCGGCCGCCGCCGGAAAATCGAGTTCCGAGGCGGCGCCGAAAAAAGGCCATTCTAATATACATTTTTCTTATAAAAATGCTGAATTTCTGCTTCCGGCGCCCGGGAGGAAGCCTCCCGGGCCGATTCCGACGCCCGGGCCAGCGCCCGAGCCGGCGCCCAGGCCAGACGCGCGAGCCGGCGCCTGGGCCGGCGCCCAGGCCGGGTCCGGAGCCGGTTCCGGCCGGCGCCGGAAAATCGAGTTCCGAGGCGGCGCCGAAAAAAGGCCATTCCAATACAGATTTTTCTTTTGAAAATGCTGAATTTTTGCTTGGAAGCCTCCGGGGCCGATTCCGGCGTGCTTCCGCTAGCGTTCCGAATTGTGCAGCTTTGGCCTCATTTCCGCGCTTCTGCTCGTTGCGTATCGTGCTCCTGCTGCAGCGCTGGCGTCATTTCCCGTGCCATGCCACGCCATGCAATGCAATGCTCGGTTGATACTACGCTTCGCGGTGCTCTTCTACGCCATGCCATGCCGTGCTTCACAATGCATCGCGTACCCTTTTCGGGATCATTGCCCTGCTCGACATCCGACTGTGCGAGTAGAGAGGGGATCTGCGCCATGGTAAGGGATGGGAGGGAAGGGTCGGATGTCAGATATGACGCGAGCGCACCTGGCTTGTCCTCCTCCCCCTCCCCCTCCCCCTCCCCCCCCCGGTCGGAGGCGGCGGAAGGGCGGCGGAAGCTGGCGGAAGCACAATGCCAACGAGGGCGGCTCCGCCGGCGGATGCTGGTCGGCGCTTCGCGGCAGCGCGCCGACTCTGGCCCGAAGTCTGGGGCCCGGAGGGGGCCCCAGGCCCTCGCGTTCCCCCGCCCTCGCCCCATGCGAGCAGCGCCGTCGTCGAGGAGTTCCTGCCCGCGCGCAGATGCATGTCCACACCTCCCCGGGGACGCGCCGAGCGAGGTCAGGACAGGGATGAATCTTTCCAGCGCGTTCCAGAACTACAGTCAACCCGCATAGTAATGATTAGCAACCTTCCCAAAGGTACCCTTGCATCCTTGCCTCCTCGGTCCACTCTTGGCGGCTTTCGTTGGCCGCGCCCCGCCCGCAAAGGGTCGACATGGCCTTCCAAGGTCCAAGGTCCTTGCGTCCTTATCGCGCATCCTTCTTATACGGGTTGGCTGTATCTCAGGGCGTTCTGGAAAGCTCTGAGAAGGCCGTGGCGCCCGATACATCTTCCAGAACCGCTGGATTTCAGAGATCGCCAAGTCGGGCATGTCCCTCTACAGGAGGAAAATTCAGTGGTGATTTAAAATATAGTCTGGTGACAAGATGATTTGACAACTTTCCATGTTTCGCCCAAAATCCGCCTGTAGGAGGACATGCCCGACCTAACATTTATCCCTGTCCGATCTTGTTCTTGTCCTGGCTTCGTCTTAACACGGGGCGGGACTCCGAAAGCCGTGGATATTGGCGGTGCTCTAGCCGTGCAGGACGACCCAACCAAGAGCTCGTCGTGGTCATGGTGCCCGATGAGCGTGCCGGGGAGATCATCGGCAGGTGGGGCAAAGGCGTGAAGGAGATCGAGATGGCCACAGGAACTAGCATTAGATTCGATAAGAAGGTTGAGGACGGCTTGCGCAAGATATTCATCAAGGGGGAGCCCGACTGTCAGGAGAAGGCACGGGCGAAGCTCCAGGCAATCATAGATGGTACCGTCATTTTGGATCCGACTGAAGAGCAGAAGGTGGACACCATCATCAAGCTGCCCAAGGTCGCCGCCGGCAAGCTCATTGGGAAAAACGGACGCCACATCAATCGAATCCAAGATCTGTCCGGCGTCAACTGCATCAGGTTCATAGGAGAGACGGGCATCGAGAAGGATATCGACATGATGGAACTCTGGATCAAAGGCAGCACAAAGAGCGTCCAGATCGCCTGCTGCTACGTGGAGATGATACTGATACAACATGACCGCTCTCAGGGGTGCTTCAACACAACCCTAGAGATGAGGTACAAGCCCTTCCCTTGCGCATCTACGGCGAACATGAACAATTTTCTGCACACGTATGTTTACAGCGAAATCATCCCGAAGCATGCCCGCGGGGTGCCCCCGGACCAACTTCCAATACCAGACCAATTCATGAATGCGCCCGTGCCCAGCGCACCGCCGCCAGAGCTGCCGCCCCTGGCCTGCCAGCCTTCGGCGCCAGCGCCGTTCATCATGCCTCCGCCGCCGCCGGGGCCGCCGCCAGGGGGGCCCCCGCCTCTGTCGCCGCTGGCAGGGCCTTCGCTGACAGCGCTGCCCGCGCCGACTGCGGCGGCCGTGCAGACGCAGCGGGAGCAGCTGCAGAAGCAATTGCAGCAGCTGCCAGTCGTGCCCCGCGGACAGGCGGCGCCTGTGCAACCGCCGTCCATGCCAGAGAAGTGCGGTGTTCCCTGGGCACCGCAGGCGCTTGCTCAGCCGGCACGGGTGTCTGAGGCGTACGGCATGCAGTGGATGGCGCACGCCCCTGGCGCCATGGGGACCCCGCACATGAGCTATCAGGACGCGCTGATGTGGTCCCACCTTTACTTGCAGGACGCGGCGTGCGTGACGTATTTCAAGCAGCTTCGGAGGATCCTGGCAAGAGTGGCAGCTGGAGGCAGCTGAGCGGGGTTTGCTCTGTGCAGGTATCCAGGTGTGCTGCCGTATATATCCACCATGCGCGGGGGGGGGAAGGTCCACGAAACGCGCCACGCGGGAACCTGCTTGTGGTTTTCTTGGCGCTTGCAGAGCAGGGATCGGGGCGGGCCCCCAGGGGCAACAGACACGCAGAAATTCCCAGATCAGATCCGTGAGTGTTCGGGGGCACAGCCTCGACGCGCGTGTGGCCGAACGCTACTTCGGATCGTCCTGGCGTGCCCGGGCTGTCTGGGGATCTCTTGTGGGCTTCCTCGACCTGTCCGATGATTCTGGAGCCCATTTTGGAGCCATCCGAAGCCGTACAGCGATGCATCAGACAATATGTGGTGTTTTTGCCTCTCGGATGCCCTTCGCGGAATCACCTTGGAGCCTTTGTGGCCTCCTCGGTCCATCTTGGAGCGCTCTTGGGGCCGTCTTGGGCTGCCTTCGACGCATCGGGGAGTGCCGATAGGCTTGGGCCCCTCGGAGCGTTGGTTCTGGATCCGCGAGAAGCCAAGCGGGGCCCAAGCGCTCCGAACATGGCCAGGGCAGGGCACAGCGAGGGGGGGCGATCCGGAGGCTATCATGAAGGAAAGAAGGTCGGCCCTTCGAAATACGCGACACCCCCTCGGTACCGCTTGCGGGAGCGGTGGCGGTGGTCCAACGTCAAATTGCATCCGTAGGATTTGAGCGCTCTCTCCACGCATGCTCTTCATCGCCGCGCGCTCTCTTGGGGTTGGAAGCCGCGAGGCATAACGTGGAGCTTGGCAGCGCTTGCCATGGGCGCACAAAATCACTTTCGCCGTCACGATGCGAGCCTTGGATGCCGAACGTATCGCGCTACTGATTGTGATCAGGGGAGCTCGTTAGAATCATCGTTATCACAACAGCCACCGCCATCGCCAGCACCATCACCATCACCGTCATACTTCACTGTCGCCATCACCATCGCAAAAACCGTCGCCATGATCAGCATCGTCATCATCACACTCACCTTCACCATCACCGTGCGTAACCGCCACTGTCGCCGTCGCCATCCACATCAGATGCAGCCATCAAACGTGTGGCATCTGATCTATCAGGAGCCTCTTCTTTTGCTCGTTGGAAAGTCTCAGTCCGCTCGTGCCCTTGCTGGCAGTGAGTGTGCCACTGCCCTACTGGATGTGATCCTGCGTGGGATCCTGACCTCGCCTGTCTGCCAGAGCTTCGGTGTTCTTAGGGGGTCCCAGCCACCCGCCCATACTCGGGCTGGCCCCGGCCGTCCTCGAGGCCTTGTCGGATGTGTTCCTCCGAGGGATGTCGTCGGCCAGAACACGTTCCGCAGACGGGGGGTTAGCGCCCGCACTTGGATGGCCAGCTCGCGCACTGAGCTTGTCCCCCCCGATCCCGCAGTTTCGCTCGCTGCGTCACCGCTGCGGAGCTGGTCGGTTCCACCACAGCCATCGTCACCGTCACCGTCACCGTCGCCGTCAGTGTCAGCGTTCCCGTCACCGTCACCACTATTGCCATCACCAACATCTACTGCGACAGCACGCCGTGCGTGGGTGCCGTCGCCGCTCTGCTGCGCGGGGATCAGACACTTACTTGCGGGACCGATGTGGCAGCTCCGGCAGCAGTTTGCCGGAGGGCTGCGGGGCCATGTGGGAGGACGGGGAGGCGCAGGAAGAGGCGTAGGAGGAGTGGGACAAGGAGAGAAGAGGAGGGGGACGAGGAGGAGGAGGAGGAGGCGAAGGAAAAGGACGAGGAGGAGAAAATGGAAACGGAGGACGAGAAGGACGATACGCATGATGAGGAAAATGATGATGGTACGTTGAACAGGGGGATGAGGAGGAAGATAATGAGGAGGAGGAGGAGGTGGCGGAGGAGGAGGAGGAGGAGCACCAGTCTAAGCCGAAGACCCATCAACGATATTGTAATAAACCCTCCTTCCAAGTTCCCTTTTCATAGGCCCCTACAAGGATTCATTTTCACTGAGGGAAGTGCCCCGTTCCAAGACAACCGTCTGATAATCTTCAACAATGCCAAAGCACCATTCCTGGGACTTCAACGCCGCCAGTGAACGTTATTGTTGCGACCTGACAACCTTAAATCGTGAAAGAACACCGTTTCTGGGACGCCAGCGCCACGAATCAATGTGACTGTCGCTCTCTGACAAGCCGAAACCGTGCCAAGACACCACCTATGGGCCGTCAGCCGTAAGATTCCTTGAAACGGTTGCAAGCCCTTAAGACGAATGTGCGCGGCGTAAGGGCGAGAGCCTCATTGTGAAAAGGGGCCGCCCTCCATCCATGAAGCTGTTGTGATACTCCGAGACGAATGTGCGCGGCGCTAAGGCGGGCGCCATATTTCGAAAACCGCACGCCCTCCATCCATGAAGCTCTTGCAAACTTTTGGAATTACTGTGCGCGGCGCTGAAGCGAGAGTAACATGTTGAAAACCGTCCGCCCTGCAACCTTGAAGCTGTTGCACACTTTTGCAGCGAATGTGCGCGGCGCTAAGGCGAGAGCCACTTCCTGAATGCGACTCGCCCTTGATCCGTGAAGTTCTTGCAAGTTTTAAGCTTCAGGATCATAAGCGGTGAGGATGTCTCAGGCGAAACGCCCGGCCCGCCCTTTCGACCGGCCTCGGGGTCGACCGGCCTCGGGGTGCGACAGGGCGGAGTCATGCATCAGGAAAAAAGCCAGGAGGAGCAGGATGATGATGATGATGATGATGATGATGATGATGATGATGATGATGATGATGATGATGATGATGATGATGATGATGATGATGATGATGATGATGATGCTGATGCTGATGCTGATGCTGATGCTGATGCTGATGCTGATGCTCATGGTGATGCTGATGATGATGCTGCCGATGAGGATGATGCTGATGATGCTGATGCTGATGCTGACGATGTTGATGATGCTAATGGTGATTGCAGTTATACTAACGCGTTTTGCGGAGCATGAGTGGGTCGGGCCGCCTTAACCGTTTGGGCTCAAGGCGTAACGGAGGGAGCGGTCCGCGCGCGACGTGGATGTTGCCGCTGGTGCTGGGAGGGGCGGTCGACGCGACCATCGCGTACCTCCACCGGTGCCCCGCTGCGCCGGAGTGCCCCAGCTGCTCCTTGACCTGTCCGGCCTGTCCTTCTTTCACGTGCCCTCCGCCGGCCACAGTCAGCTGCCCAGCGTGCCCCGCGCTGGTCTGCCCCGCGGTGGCGGCCGAGGCGCCGCGCGCCGCTCGTGAAGGGCGCGCGGAGGCGCCGCGCTCCTGCACTGCCTGCGCTGCTTGCGAGCAGCCGCCGGAGCCTGAGCCGTGCGACGCCTGGCGGGCCTTTTTGCGTGGGCTGCTGGGCGGCGCCGTCGGCGGCGTGCTGCTGACGCTGCTGTTCGTGAAGGCCGTGGGCCATGGAGTGGGGGTGGCTGAGGTACGTCGGGGACGACCTGGTTCACCAAAGGTGGGTTTCCGGCCGCGTGGCGCTATCGGCTTCTGAGTATGTCGGTACCACGCCGGACGGCGACACGTACATTGAGAAGTATGACGATAATGATAATGAAAATGTGGATCTGGTTCGGTGGAGCGCAGGTTGGAACGACGTCCCCAACGGCGTGAATCCTTCGCGGGTGTACCGCTTTCGGCAGGAGCCGACAGCGGCCGAGAAGCACGTCTTCCTTCGTGATGCTGAGCTACTGGCCGATCATCGCTGCCGCATCGTGGCCGCCACGATTGGTCGCCCCGACCTGCTCACGGCGCCAGGCTTCCGCGCGCTGGTGCCAGGCGGGCCAGGCGGCGCGCCCGCCGCTGCGGGAGGCGCGGCGGCTGGGCCTGCGGCGGCTGCTGGGCCTCGCCCGGGGGTGCTGCAGGGCGTGGCGCCTCAGGCGGCTGCGGCGGACGCTGGCGCGCGCTGGCGGGCGGCTCAGTCTCTCGGGGACGTGCGGTACGGGGACGAGGTGCAAGGGCACGTGGCGACGGCAGCTGCGGTGCGCGGGCGCGACCTCCACATCCTCGCCGACGGGACCGCCTTGTTCGTCGAGGAGGTGCTGGCGGCGGAGTTGGAGGTCTTCATGGGGCGCGCTGTGGCAGCAGACGCTCGCGTGATGCCCGTGATGCGTACGTGAGCTCGCCGCGAGGTGACGTGGGCGGTCATGGCTGCGCGCGTTCGTGAGGAGGACTTCGGGCGCGACTGGCTGGTGACGGGCCCGCGGACGACGTTCTGGTGCATCGAGTTCATCAACAATGAGGGGATGGGCATCGACGGCCATCACGATAGGTTTCGGGCGGTGGCGAAGCTCGAGCCGACGCAGTGGGGCGTGCAGGAGCACTTCCAGTGCACGCAGTACATCCGCCTGCTGTTGCTCTCAGACCAGTGCGACGGCACGAACTTGCAGGCTTGCGAGGCCATCTTCCGCCGCATGCAGACTATCGAGTATTCGTACCTGGAGAAGGTGAGGGAGCGTGAAGGGGCCAATCAGAGCGGGAAGTTGTCGATCGAGGAGCAGACGCACTTCGCGGGCTCGACTCGGATCTCTTCTAGCTTGATGGTGTGCCCCGACTTGTTGGAGTTTGTACGCAAAGAAGTAGAGCGTGAAGCTGCCCTGGCAAAGAACCTCCGTAAGGCTCGTGAAGAGAAGGAGGCTCTCAAGAAGGGCAAGAAGGACGGACAAGGTTGAGGGGGCATGGAGCGCCCCCTTCGTGGCCCCCGGTTGCCAGGCGACCGGGGGGCGCCTTCGCATGGTCAATTCGAGCGCTCTTCCCCTTGGTCGTGATGAGCCCGCACGTCTGGTTGCTCGCAATCCTCTTCCTCTGCCAGTACCGCCAGTCTCATCTGTATGTGCTGACAGTGGTGGATTTTTGTCGCGAGGTTGCCGTCAGCGGGTTCAGCAGCGTCACGCTCGTGATCTCGACGTTCGGAGGGCGGTTGTCGCCCTGAATTCACTGCATCACTCTCCTGACGTTGTGCCGGGCGGAGAGGGTCAACTCAGTGGTGGTCCTCTGTCGCTGATGCAGCAACGCATCATGGAGCACGTGCGCGACTCAGTTGGAGCGCTGGGGGCTCCACCGGCAGGCGTCGACACCTCGGAAGCTCTGCGGAGGCTTCGAGCGCCTGGCTTCTACGGCTCCGACGAGGACGTGAAGCTGGGGAACTACAATCCCGATCTGCTCTCGCTGCCGTCCGTGGGGAGCCATGCGGTTCCGCTCGCGGACTTGTGGGGTGCAGGCGGGCGCAGGCGCGTCGCGGAGTTCGTCCGCGATAGTGTGCTACCTGCGGGACCGGCGCTGGAGAGGAGGAAGATGTGCGGCGTGAGGGCGCCCTATTCCGACCCAGCTCTTCGCCAACCGCGTGTGTGGAGCGACTTTGTCTCGCGGCTTCATCGCAGCGGCCTGCTAGATTTTGCCTACGACCGCGGCAGAGAGTCCGTGGAGCTCTTCTGCGTTCCGAAAAAGGATCAGCGATTGAGACTCGTTTGCGATTGCCGTCGCAGCAACGTCTGGTTTCGCGAGCCTGATAATGCCACTCTTTGTGCTGGTGAGACTCTTGGGAACCTCGAAGTCGGTGAAGGCGAGGCGCTCTATATTTCGGAAGCTGACCTGTCCAATGCATTCTACCATTTGCAGCTGCCTGTCGAGTTGCGGGATCTGTTCGCCCTTAGGCGCGTCCGTGCTCGTGATATCGGCTTGACTGAGATTGGCGGGCAACCAGTGCGCGACGGGGCGTGGGTATACCCAAGACTGCGCGTGTGCCCCATGGGGTGGACTTGGGCATTGTGGTTGTGTCAACGTGTGCATGAGAGATTGGTCGAGCGGTGTGGAGGACAACCCGAAGAGAGGTTACAGGATCGTCGTGTCATTCCCTCTCTGGCGGGGGCCTGCCATCTCGAGTATGTCGACAACTTCGTGGCCATTTCGACTGTCGCCTCCAAGGTGCATCGCCTCGCGTCCGCCGTCGTGGAGGGGTTCAGGGAGGCGGGGTTGGTCGTGACCGCCGATGTCGACTCGCCCGGAGAGGATCTCGCTCGGGACCGCACCGTCTTGGGATGGGATGCCAGCTGTCGTGCCGCTGTCCTGAGGCCTACCCGGGCCCGTGTCTGGAGGGCCCGCTTGTGTGTCCGTGCCTTGCTTCGTCGTGGCCGCGTCTCTGGGAAGGTCCTCGAGAGGCTTGCGGGGCACATGGGGTTCATCAGCCTGGTCCGACGGGAAAGCCTCTCGGTCTTCGACACGCTGTTCGCGTTCATCCGCCGCTTCTACTACGAGGAGGCCCCGCTGTGGCCCAGTGTCATCAACGAGCTCACGATCTGGGAGGGGATCGCGCCGCTGCTGTGGCGCAACCTGAAGGCCTCGTGGGGGCCGTCGCTGTGCGCCGTCGACGCGTCCCCGACCGGTCTGGGAGTCTGCTCGTCGCCGATCTCAGTCGAGGAGGCCCGGGGGCTTGGGAGACATTGCGAGCGGTGGCGTTTCTCTCGGGGTGCGCGTCTTCCTCCGCGTCTTCAGGCTGCCGCCGCTGCCGCCGTGTCCAACGACCCCGAGGTGCAGTGGCTGTCCGGAGTGCACGACAGCGGGTCCAGAGGTCTCTGGGATGTTGATGGGGGGCCGCCGCCTGCTGGCAGTGCCGCCGCCGTTCTGGGTTCCGGGCTCGGCGATTTTCGTGACACCGTGTTTCGTGAGGTGCCCCTGAAGCTCTTACGACGTGACTGGAAGATTGTCGGGAGGTACAAGTGGAACGTTGAGGAGCCGATGCCTATCCTTGAGGGCCGGGCTATCTTGTATGCACTACGACACGCCCTGAGGAATGTTCAGAACTTCGGGCGGCGGATCGCGGTCCTGGGGGGCGCCCTCGTCGCTGCCTGCGCAGTCTCGAAGGGGCGGTCTGATTCCAGGGCGATGCTCAAGGTCACCCAGTCCGTTGCTGCTCTCTGTCTGGCCACTGGGTGCGTGTTGCACTGCCGGTGGCTCCCCTCAGAGTGGAACGTGGCTGACGGGCCCTCGAGAGGGCTTGCAGTTCCGTCAGTGCCGCAGCCGCTGTCCCTCTCGAAGCCTCACGAGCTGGAGTGGCTTCGCTCGGCTGGGCAGCCCGCGCCCGCCCCGCGGCCCCGCCCCGCGGCAGGAGGCGATGCTGCTACGAGCGTCGCCGTCGACCGGCTCTCAGCCGACTGGGTCGGCTTCGCGGCCCTCGGGGAGGAGCAGTTTGACGCGGGCGCCGGCCGCTTCGAGCCCGTCTTCATCGGCGGCGTTTCCTTCGCGGGCCGCTCCCAGCAGCGCGCCAGCGGCTGTGCCCCGCCGGGCGCCGCGGGCGCCGGCACGAGCACCAGCGCGGCGCGCCGGGCAGGCCCGCGTGAAGGAGGCGGCGATGCGGCGGGCGGCCGCGACCGCGGCCGAGGGGCTGACCGTCTGCCAGACTCACTCGGTTCGCCCCGCTACGTTGCGGCTGTGCCAAGACGACTTTGCCTCGTTCAAGCGCTGGCTGAGTCGCCAGGGCCGCCCGATGCCCGAGGGCGAGCTGGACACCGACCAGACCCTCTCCCAGTACCTGGACGAGATGTACCTCGACGGCGCGCACGTCAGCTTGGGGCAGCGGATGCTCGCCGCTGTGCTGTTCCACCAGTCGGCCCTGAGCAAGGCGGGCGGCGCGCGGATGGCGCGCAGCCGCCGCGCGCTCAAGGGCTGGCAGCGCCTGGCGCCTGCAGGCTCCAGGCTCGGGGTGCCGTACGAGGTGATGTGCATGATCGTGATGTGGATGTGGCTGCACGGCCTGTGGGGGGAGGGGCTCGTGACCTGGCTGACGTTCGAGATGTACTATCGCCCGAACGAGCCGTTCACCCTCCGCGCGCGGGACCTCGTGCCCCCGGTGGCGGGCTCGCGGGCCGGCGGCAGCTGGTCGCTGACGCTGCGTGCCCGCGAGCACGGGGTGGCGTCAAAGACCCAGGAGTTCGACCAGGCGCAGCTCCTGGACCTGGACCGGCAGGCGGCTCTCGGCCCGGCGCTCGGCGCCATGCTGGAGGCGCGGTTCGGACCGCAGTGGCGCCAGGCGGTGCTGAAGCGGCCTGCGGGGGCTGCTGCCGCCCCGCCCCTGTTCACGATCAGCAGCACCCAGGCGGGGCAGGCGTTCGACAGGGCGGTGCAGGCGCTGGGGCTTCGGCGCGTGGGCGTGGTCTGCCGCTACCAGCTGCGCCACGGCGGCGCAAGCCACGACGCGGCGACCGGCGCGAGGACGCTGGATCAGATCCGCCATCGTGGCCGCTGGCGCGCCCACAGCAGCCTCCGCCGCTGCGAGAAAGGGGCGAGGCTCGGCGAGGTGCTCGGGCGCCTGACCACCCCGCTCCGTGCCCACGCGCTGCGCTGCGCCGACTTGCTCGCCGACGTTGCGGCCGGGCGACGCTAGCCTTGCGCGAGCCCCTGAGGGTCCCCGTCTTCGTGGAGATCTTCTCTGGCTCAGGCAGGCTGGGGCGTGCTGCTGCGCATGAAGGGCTGCAGGTGCTCTGGTGGGGCATCTCGTTCGGCGACGCCTATGACCTGACGCTTGGCAAGAATCAGAATCTGCTGATGGGCTGGCTCGCTGGAGGCCTCATCATCGGGTTTCACGTCGCGCTGCCATGCCAGACCTACTCCCGCATTCGCGATCGTGGAGGCGGGCCGCCGCCGCTGAGGAGTGACGCCTGGCCGTGGGGGCTTCCGAACCTCGCGGCCGCCTTGCAGCGCAAAGTGGCGCTTGCCAATAATCTCACTCGCTTCGCATGCCGCTTGTGTCGTGAGGCGATCCTTCGTCGGATCCCCTGGTCTTTGGAGAACCCGCGAACCTCGCGCCTGTGGCTGTGTAATTCAATCGTTGCCCTTACGAAACGTAAGAATGTCAGCAGTGTGTGCGCTGATTTCTGCATGTGGGCGGGACCTTTCAAAAAATTCACCACGTTTGTATCGTACCTCGTCGATCTCTCTGGGCTCGCCACTCGCAGGTGCCTCGGTGGCCGCAGAATGTGTGCCCGCACTGGCGAGCCGCACCAGCAGTTGGTCGGCAAGCGTCAGGGCGGTGTATTTTGGACTAAAGTTGCCGAACCATATCCAGCCCCGCTTTGCAGTTTCATCGCCAAACGGTTCTGGGACATAATTGCTGCGCGAACCGCTCAGAAATTTGACAGGTTCCTGTCTGTTGCTTAAGTCCCGGCGGAGCCAGTTGGCACTCGTGCAAGTATGGCATTTTCTAGCTTGACGGTGCTGTCTTGGCAGTGCGTGTGGCCGAAGCCACACTCTTGTGCGGAAGGTATTGTGACTCGTTGCTTGCCTGCCCACTCGCTCCGGTCGGTGGCGCCACTGTACGTAAAAACACATCGTCGTCTGGCCTCGAACGGAAGCCTGAGCAATTGCAGTTATACTAACGCGTTTTGCGGAGCATGAGTGGGTCGGGCCGCCTTAACCGTTTGGGCTCAAGGCGCCCACCACGCCCGCCCATTTTTAGCCTTGAGCAGTGCGTGTGGCCGAAGCCACACTCTGGTGCGGAAGGTATTGTGACTCGTTGCTTGCCTGCCCACTCGCTCCGGTCGGTGGCGCCACTGTACGTAAAAACACATCGTCGTCTGGCCTCGAACGGAAGCCTGAGCAATGATAATGATGATGACGATGCTGATGATGCTGATGCTGCTGATGATGATGATGCTGGTGGTGATGATGATGATGGTGCTACTGCGAATGATAATGGGGAGGATGATGCTGATGATGACGATGACGATGATGATGATGAGGAGGATGATGCTGCTGATGATGCTGCTGATAATGCTGATGCTGGTGATCATGATGATGCTGCTGCCGCTGCTGATGATGATAATGCTGCTGATGATGGTGATGCTGCTCATGATGATGACGATGACGATGATGATGCTAATGATGCTGATGATGCTGATGCTGATGCTGACGATGTTGATGATGGTAATGGTGATGATGAACATGATTATGATGATGATGCTGATGATGATGTCTATGCTGATTGTGGTGATGATTCTGCTGCTGATGATGATGCTGCCGATGATGATGCCGATGATGCTGCTGCTGATGATGATGCTGAGGATGATGATGCTGATGCTGCTGATGATGCTGATGCTGATGATCATGATGATGCTGCTGCCGCTGCTGCTTATGATGCTGAAGCTGATGCTGATGCTGATGCTGATGCTGCTGCTGATGATGATGATGATCATGGTGATGCCGATGATGCTGATGATGATGCTGATGATGACAATTCTGATGATGCTGATGATGATGATGTTGATGCTGATGCTGATGCTGATGCTGATGATAAGTATGATGGTGGTGATTGTGGTGGTGATGATGATGATGATGATGATGGTGATGATGATGATGATGATGATGATGATGATGATGATGATGGTGGTGGTGGTGGTGGTGGTGGTGGTGGTGGTGGTGATGGTGGTGGTGGTGGTGGTTGTGGTGGTGGTGGTGGTGGGGAGGAGGACGAGAAGGAGGAGGAGGAGGAGGAGCATCAGTAGCAGCAGGAGGAGGAGGAGGCAGAGGAAGAGGAGGAGGAGGAGGAGGAGGAAGAGGAGGAGAAGGGGCAGGAGGAGGATGAGGACTAATAGTAATATCATTGATAATAAGGAAAAAAAGGAGAGTAATACTAAGGATTTGTATAAGAAGAAACAGATGAGTAATACAGAGCAGAAGAACAATACTAATACGAACACTAATGATAATACTACGAATGCCAGCAGAACGACTACGTATAATAGTACTAATAACAAGCGTATGACTACGACTACTAAGAACACGACCGATATGCATAAACATAAGAATAAGACGAACAACACCAATACTACGAACACTCATAATACTAGTAATTCGAATCCTAATATTCATACGAATAATACGAATGCGACTAATATCAATAATGATGAACTGATACTAGTTAAACTAGGACATATTAATGACACTCCTAAGTATGATAATACTAAGCGGTGGATGACGAGGAGGAGGAGGAGGAGGTGGCGGAGGAGAAGGAAGAGGACGAGGAAGAGGAGGAGGAAGAGGAGGAGGAGGAGGAGGAGGAGGAGGGGGAGGGGGGAGGAGGAGGAGGAGGAGGAGGAGGAGGAAGAGGAGGAGGGGAGGACGAACAATAATACTGATAAGAAACATAATCATACTAATCACAAACGTAATACCAATAATAGTAATAATCGCATTAATAATGATAAGAAGACGACGACGAAAAATAATAACAATAATTACCATACTGACGAATAATAAGTATACTAATAATATTAATACTAAGATTAATGCTAATAATCATAATAATAAGACTACGTACGAATCATACCACTAATAATAATACTAATAAGCGGAGGAGGAGGAGGAGGAGGAGGAGGAGGAGGAGGAGGAGGAGGAGGAGGAGGAGGAGGCGGACAAGGAGGAGGACGAGGAGAAGGAGCAAGTGCAGGCTGCATGTTGCTGCCCCCCCCCGTGCCACACAGAAAGGGGAGGAGTTTACGGCCTTCAAGGTCGGTGCCGAGTCCCGCTCCCAGGAGAGCGCGGCCGCGAGCGCGCGCGCACGCTCGCGCCTCACCTGCCAGTGCTGCCGTTGCCTCTGCTGCTGCTCCCGCGCGGGGGAAGAGGATGAGGGAGGAGGAGGAGGAGGAGGAGGAGGAAGAGGAGGAAGGGAAAGAGGAGGAAGAAGAGAAAGAGGAGGAGGAAGGAGGAGGAAGAGAAAGAAAAGGAGGAAGAGGAGAAGGAAGAGGAGGAAGAGAAACATGAGGAGGAGGAAGGAGGAGGAAGAGAAAGAGGAGGAGGAGGAGGACGAGGATGAGGAGTGAGGCCTCCTTTCTCATTCCTCCCCTCCTCCTTTCTGCTGTCTGTCTGTTTGTTTGTCTGTCTGTCTGTCTGTCTGTCTGTCTGTCTGTCTGTCTGTCTGTCTGTCTGTCTGTCTGTCTGTCTGTCTGTCTGTCTGTCTTCTTGCTTTCTTATCACGAGTGCTTGCCAGTGACCCCTTGGAGCGGTGCTCCAGGGGTCACCCGGCGTTAGTTTGACCTGCCCCCCTCTGGGCCGGCCCACCCTGAGGGGAGGCTACGTCCGGACGAACACTGCAGCCATCAGGTATCAGGAGGAGGAGGCCGAGGAGGAGGAGGACCAGTGTAACCTTACAGTCATCAGCGAAGTTGCAAGAACCCCTCCCTCCAAGCTCCCTCTTCATAGGCTCCCATACGGATGTGTTTGCACTTCGGGAAGAGCCCCGTTGGAAGACAGCCGTTTGATAATCTTCTACTCTGCTAAAACGCCAGTCCTGGGACTTTGTCACGCCGCGAATCAACGTCACTGGCGCGACCTGGCAATCCTAAATCGTGCCAGAAGAATTTTTCTGGGACGCCAGCACCACGAATCAACGTGACGGTCGCGCCCTGACAAGCCGAAAGCGTTCTGAAACACCATGTCTGGGACGTCAACCATAATAATCATTCTTGAATATGTTGCGAACTCTTGATGCGAATGTGCGCGGCGCTGAGGCGAGAGCCACATCTTGAAAAGGAGCCGCCGTCAATCCTTGCAGCTGTTGCAAGCTTTTGAAACGAGTGTGCGCGGAACTATGGCGAGAACCACATGCTGAAAAGGAACCGCCCTCCATCCGTGAAGCTGTTGAGAAATATGACGAACGTGCGCGGCGCTAAGGCGAGAGCCATCCGCACCAAGTTCCTCCTCAAGATCTTCAGGGCCAGTCGGGCGCCCCCCAGACTCCTGCTGCAGTGGACCCACCCTTTGCCAGCGGTGGTGCTGCTGTGTCTCGCCCTCCAGTTCCTCCTCCTCGTCAGCCTTCTGCGTCCTCCTCCTCCTCCTCCTCCCCCTCCCCCTCCTCCTCCCCCTCCTCCGTAGCAATTTTTCGCTCAAGACACCATGTCCCTCGGGGTCAGAGTGGAGACCACTGATCCGAGGACAGATCCCAACTGCTGTCAGCTCCAGGGAAGCGTTCCCCCCTGGAGTGCAGAGTTGCCCGCGCCACGCCCCGCATGCCTAATGAGGACGGACCCAAGCGCCTCATTACTCGGCCAAAGAAACTCAAAAGGGGACGAAATGGATCTGTTCAGGCCGTGGGCGAGGTCGCTCACGATGATGGCGCAGGTGCTTTTTCTGGCCAATCAGCCGATGCTGGTGCTCCTGCAGCATCCGCTGACAGTGCTGCCCCTGCGCAGGTGGCGGCGATGGGTTCCGAGGGCGACTGCAACAGCGACGACGAGTGGACCAAAGACGACTACATCAAGCAGCTGGCAGGTGATTTCGTTTCCCAAAAGATGGCAGAACACAGGGACGAGCTCATCCGTGACCTCACACAGGTGGTTTCTTCGACTGTCGCCGACTAGGTCAAGGATTTTGCCGCTCAACTTGCTGAGACTTCTCTTGCTGCTGGCAGGCTGGCTGAAGGTGTGCAGCAGCTTCCAACGATTGCCAAAGATGCCTCCGAGCAGTTCTGTTCCGAGAAGCTTGACGCATGCCAGAGGAAGTTCCAAGAGCAGCTGGACGGACACTATTTGACTGCGAGCTTGCGAGAGTCGGCTCGACGAACACGACACCGTTCTGCAGACACTTCGAGAACATAGTCGAGAGCTTCGTGGAGACCTCGCCCTCGCCAGTGCAAAGCCGAAGCCTCCTCCGGCCAGTGCTGCTGGATTCGACAGGGAAGCCGACACTACTATCATCCGCGTCATGGCCTCGAAGTTGGTCGAGCTCTCCGCGGTTAAGCAGGTCATCTCCGACTGGTTTGTCGAGTGCGGTGTGGACGCGAAGTGCTTCACTATTTCCTCAGCTGAGAACGTTGCCAGGCAGTCCACTATCAAATTTACAGGCGCAGTTGGCCCTGCGTCGCGACGGGCCGTTCAAGTTCTCGGAGCTCAGAGGACCGCCCCTGGCCAGTGGAAGCGCTTCGAGGTCACTGCTGTGGACAACCAACTGGCAAACTGACATATCGGCGCCGACAGCAATCCAAGGCAAATCGAGCTCGAGTTCTAGGGCCGCAGAATTAGGGAGGCGTTCAAAAAATTGGTCAGTGACGAGAGGTGGTTCTTCGATCGCGACCGGGGCTACGTCGTGTCCAGGCTGGGATCCCGTTCTTCGGCTCTCGCCCAACCCTGACAACATCGCCTCGGAGGTCGCTTGGGCTGGCAACG